ATATATATATAAAGTCATACCCACATGGGCGAAAGAGGCTGGCTTCTAATAATACTGACACTCTTCCAGACGGCCAGACTACGTTATTCGGCGGCCTAGCAGAACCACCCTCATTCAGGATAGCATCACAGGAGACAACACAAGCACTTGAATAGGATCCTGGTGTTGATATAGAAGATCCTGTATTGGTTTTACTTGCTGAGGATCAGCCATCAGTCGCATCAGATGATACCACAACTGCGACGGATCAACTTTTAGTAGCTCCTTCTACAACTATTGTAGCTGTTAAGGATAGTAACACTGAGCTCACTTTATCGAGCACGTCTGCTAGAATAGTACAAACATCATTCACAGAACAAGCAGAAGACCTTCCTGTCGATACAGCAGCGCACCCTTCCCAAAGTAACGGGAGACAGGACAATACCACACATGACACTAGTAATCACAATGTAAACTACAATTCTACTACCAACATAGTTGTCGAATACAATGACAAAGTCCACAAGAAGGTTTCAGCTCTATGCGACAACAAGAATCCGCTAAGGTTATTAGAGTACCTTGGTGACAGTATGTGGGTACGCCCCCCTGATCCTACTCTCGCCTTGCGTGGTCCCAATAAGAGGCTAGTTCCAAACGCATACTATCAACCAGACATATTCGTTTTAGCTCTGTATTGAGCTTGTGTGTTTTTCAGCGAGTTTAAGTTGACATAATACACGAGAATGTCACTCATTGCGATTTCGTCTCACTATTGGTTCGGTTTTGTTTGAATGCAGCGAGCTCTTTTTCTGTTTCTGCATCCGATACTTGTGGGGATCTCGAACTATAGCCTAAGACTGATGTTATTTCGTCATCTGACATATAGTTTTCTGAGGTTTCACCGGTTTGTTCATCATCGCTTGAAACTTCGATTCTAGCTTTAATTGTGTTTCTATTTGCTTCCTCTCCACTAATTATAATTCGTTTGGGGTATCTTGAGGACGAATTAGTATTGTCCGTGTTTGGGTTAGCGATTTGTGGTAGTGTTGCGAGTGTTGTAGGATTAGATTTTGCGGTGGGTGTGTGTGTGTTGTTTCGTGTGTCAGTGGCTTTCGTGGTTGTATAACTATGAGTGTTGTTGGTGGTTGTGGTATCTGTTGGGTTTGGGCTGGATTGAGTTTGGGGTTTGGTGGTGGCTTTCGGTACTCTATTGAATAGGTGGGTTAGGACTCCAGGGTATTGGGGTGGACATTTATCGCGAGCCGATTTAGGGTTTAGGTATCTTTATTTGTTTACA